AAGATAATAGTGTTTAAGTATTTATACAAAATGAAGTTGTAATTTGAAAATGACAAATAAATAATGAATTAGAATCAAACAAAAAGATCACAATACTAAGATACCATTTCAGGGCGATTTTGATGAGGATCACAACTAAATTTTGGATGAATATGAAGGTTACCCAAAATGACACCAACAAGAAATATATTATTAACAAAATATATTTTACATTATCCTATAATCTAAGGTAGAGATCAAGTAAAGGTTAACGATTTACGTAGACTTTTACTATCAACTAAAAAATGTCACGAGAAGAAAAGGAAGTGTACAAATAGATTCATAATCCAAAAGTTCACATTAATAGTTTCAAACCTACTTAATATACATCTAAGAGACATTAAATATGCAACTAAGTTTCATTTAAATAATATCAGAAGGAAGATTTAAATTACATAAGTAAGATATTTTGAACTAATAGCGTATATATCTAAAGTCAATAAAAGAACAATAAAATAAAATCGGAAGAAATTGATATAACGTAAAGAGTGAGAAATAAAATGTCATGCATCTTTTACGAAATAGGTTAATGTAACATCTTTTCTTTTTATTTTAAAATTTTTTTTAACTAGAATAGTTAGCGGAAGTCTTATTTTAAATTTTATGAAGATGGCTCCAATGCTACTTTTATTACCAAAAACAAACTTCATCAAAATTAAAGTTCATAAAACCAACCCAAAACAAGTTCTCAAAAACCAAGTGTTATGGAAACTAAACGATGTGTCTATACAGTATCATCACGAAAGCAATTTTAAATAACTACCCAAAAGACCTCATCCTCACTGAGACTATGTTACCTATACCAATGCAAGGCAAACAATAAGTGCCAACATATGTTAAGTAAGTCGATCATAAGTATGGTGTCATGGAATGTACATATCCCAAATGGGTCAAACAAGACATCATATAAGCATGCATTCAAACACTTAGATAGCATGACATCATATAATCAGCACAACATCACTCCAGTTCACATATCTTTAGGTGAACCATGTGTCAAATTGGTCATCTAGAATAACCATCCAATTGGCATTTCTCATAGATCCAACATTAACCGACTTTCCTCATAAAGCCAACTATAACCGACTATCCTCATTGAGCCAATACTAATTTGTTATCCTCATAAAGCCAACTGTAACCGACTATCCTCGTTGAGCCAATACTAATTCGTTATCCTCGTAAAGCTAACACCTATTGGTTTTCCTCGTAGAGCCAACCCTAGTTAGCTTCCCCATGGAGCCAACTCTAATTGATTTTCCTCATGGAGCCAACACTACCATTTATCCTCTATGTATATTCCCCCACATAATTATTTATTTATAATAATATACTAAGCGCCATTTCCATTCTTTATTTATTTATTATTATGTATAATTTTCCTCGTTTAATTATTGCATAATAAATCACTATACAAATCATGCACATCTCATCATTTCAACACTTAGGCACATTATATCACCAACATGCTTATCCTAAACATCATAGGAAAATATTTCCACCAAATCATAACATGCATACAATCAGCACACAACTATCTTTCCAGGGGCATAACACGCTCCTCACATTATAGATAATAATATAGCATGTAATGTATCCTAGATTCTCATACGCAAAAAGGAACCAACATAACATTCATAATAAGGGTACATGCAACATGTACAATATATGTTCATTTCAATCATTCTAAGATATACCCTTAACAAAGTACTTAAATTCCACAAAGATGAACTCACCTTGACACGTAAGTGTTTTCCTCCACTTCGGGTCTGGTAAGCGCTTAAGGTCTCACACTCCCCCCCTCCCCCCCCCCCCCCCCAAGGAAGAATCGATCTCCATAGCCTTACTTGAGCTCCTATGCTCATTTTTTCCTTCCTCCTACCCCTCCTAGCAAATAATGAGAACAACTACAAACCCAAAAAGAGAATCGATCAACTCTTCTTCTTTTTTCTTACTTCCTGTCGACACAAACAAGGGGCATCAACCTAACTAATCGAAGAAGCCAACCCTTCTTGTTCACGTTCGACTATACATTTTTTTTCTTCCCGTGTTGATCGTTGCACACTACCACACCTATGATTGGATCAGTTCTTTTGATCGGTCCTATATAAACCAAGATAGAAACAAACAAGTGCTCTGCTCCTTCACAAGCGCATGCCTCTTTTTTTCTTCTTATTGTCGCCCTTTAATGTCCCAAGTACACAATGGACTAATGGAGTCATTTATACTTTGAACGTATAGGCCAGGTGGAAGAAAAAAAATGCTTGAGCCTCTAGTTACACACGATCGTAACATATGGGGAGGGGTTTAATGCAATTTTTACACATCTAACCCTCAAATTTCCAATCTTGCACTCTTTAAACCCTGACCCTAATTAACTTAACAATTAAAGTTTCTTTTAATAACATTTTATCCCCTCAATTCCATTTAAACCCTTTTGAGGAACTATTTTACCATACCATCC